TCTTTCTTTTTCTTTCTTTCTTTTTTCTTATTTCATTCAGCTAATAGAACCTAGTGCTGAAGAGCTTCCCTACCCACCCACTCCCACCCACCCATCGTATGCACAAAATTCCCTGAATTTGTAATCTCTTCTCAGCTTTCCCTCTTATGATTTGGTTGAACTGTCTGCTGGTGCATAGACCCAATCCCCTTCCTGCTCCCCACCTATCACTATAAATGAATTTCTGTCATTCTGCTCCTCTTTCTGCTATGAGAATGGGCACATGATGTCAGGTTTTTGTTTTGTTTTTTTTCTTAAAACACAAAAGAAGATTCCTGCTTCCAGGAAGAGGAAGTAGATGTACTTTTCCCTATCCTCCCAGCTTAGTGAAGTGAGAACTGTAGACATTACATATACAAGAAATATAAGACCACTGAGACCCGAGAAGAAGCAGGCAGACATCCACGGAACTCAGCAAGCTGAGGAAGAGCCGAGTGAGCAGTTGATGATAATGCCTAATTTTAATTGCCAACTTGATTGGATTGAGAGATGAATAAAGCACACTTCTGAGCGTGCCTGTGAGGGTGTTTCCAGAGGCCCATGACGTGTGGATCAGCGAACTGAGGGAGGGAGGTTTGCCCTGAGTGTGGCTGGCCCTGTCTGAAGAAGGAGGAAGCCGGGCAGCGTTTGCAAGCTCCATTCTGCTGGGACAGGTGCATTTATCTGCTGCTGTCATCCACGGACATCAGGTTCCAGCTTCTTCGGTCTTTCAAGGTGGACTCGCACCAGCGATTCTCCAGGGTGCTTCCAGGCCTTCAGAGGCAGACTGGGTCTGCATCCTTCATCCTTTTTGTTCTGAGGCTTCCAGCGTCTTGGACTGAACAGCTACTGGATTCTGTGGTTCTCTGGTGTGCAGACAGCCACCACGGGATAATGCAGCCTCTGATCCTGTAATCCAATCATATATATGTATAATATATGATATGTAATATCTAATATGTCTATTCTATTGGTTCTGTTCCTCTAGAGCAGTGATGGTGAAGCTTTTGGAACTTTCAGTGATAACGAACAGCCTGCTGTAGCACATGTGCCATAGGTTCGCCGCCACTGCTCTAGGGAAACCTATTCAAATATAGTTCTCTTCTCATTCATTTGCCTCGTATCTCCCAGAGGCTGAGTGGAGTAGGCTAGCAACCACAAACTCCGACAGGCAAAGACCAAAAAGACTTTAACAAAAGCCTTTTCTGCTCAGCCAAAGAACCAGAGAAGGGTCAAGGCAGCAAAATAAAAGACTTTTACACAATGACTACTCCACTCCAGCCAACAGCACAGAAAAAGATGGCGGCCCCATTTTTCCAGCAATGCCCTGGTGGGGAGGTTAGATTCCGACTCTCTGCTGGGCAATATGAAGGTTTCCAACACACTGCAGGTGGTGTGAAAGATTGCTGGGGAGGGGGTCAGGATTTTCATCCCCCTTGCTGGTCCATAATGACACAAAATCTCCTACGGAGGACTGGTAGAGACCACATAGCAAGCCGGGACTTTCACTTCCATCTGGGAGTAATAGGCTCCCCCTCCCTCCCTGTTGGGGTACCACCAGAAAAAGTCTAATGGAGCCACTGGGCTTCCCCCAGGACCCAGTAGTAGTGAGGCCACCTTAGTCTCATTAGCAGGGGAGACCACACATAAAGCAGCAATGAGCTACTTCTCTCCCAGCCAGGAAGACACCAAGGGAGGCCCCAGTGGGGAGCCAGAACTCCCACCCCTGCCCAGCAAGAACGAAGAGTTACAGAAAAGCATGGACTGCACCTACCTTAGTCACTATTGAAACCTCAGTGCTTGGAACACTTCTTGGCATATGATAGTGGCTATTTGCATGATCTTGCTCAAATCACTCATCCCTTCTGTGCCTCAGTCTCATTCTCAGGTAAATAAGAATGAACATAGTATTATAGGTTGCTATGAGGACTAAACCAATCGATGCATGTAAAGCCCTAGGCCAGCGTATGACACTGTCAGCCATTGTTGCTGCTGCTACTGTAGTCACTCACTCCCCCTTGATTTGTACTCTTCTTAGAAATAGCTGCAGGCATATCCCATGACTTTGGATTGCTAGTTTTTTCACTATTCTTATTTTCTACATATTCTGTAATTGCAATCATGTTTCTCCCTTTATACCCAAGAGATATGCAGAAGATTATTTTTAAACTTCCAAGTGGGTGGGAAATTTTTGTTTAAATGTTTGTTTCTAATTTGTAGTTTTATTATTCTGCGGTCAGAGAATATGTCTGTGTAGTTTGTACTGTAAGAGATTTATTGCTGTTCTTTATAGTCTGGAACATACTCTATTTTTAAAAACTTTCTTCAATTAAAATAATTTCTCCCTTTTCCCTCATTGGGAAGACTTTTATGCTAGGAATATATTCTCTAAACATACTTCCCAACACACGAAAGCAGACGGTTAATGAAATGAAAGCTTCAATCATGTTGAGTTAAAATGCTTAACTCTTGTTCAATTTGTAGTAAGCACCAATTGCAAATTTCCCCAGAGGGAGAGGAATGGAATCAGGCACACTCAGCCTTCAGGTGTGATTTGCTAGTTGTTCATCTGGTGCTTCTTTTCTGCTTCTAGTTTTCTTCTTGCAAAAGAATGCCTTTAATTCTGATTGTACCAGATGCAGTTTCCAAAAGTGGCCACAGCATTAATTCTGATCCCACCTATTCTTCCAGGATCTTGCCATTCCTATCAAGAAGTAAACATCTGTGGTCTTTCCCTTGAACTGGAATAGGTCTTAATGACTGCATCAACAAAAGAGAATCGGTTGGAAGTCATGTTGTACCACCTCCAAGGTGGGTCATAAATGGAAATATCACCTCTGTCTGGCTCTGTCTTGTGATGCTTACACTTAGAAACCAGTTGCCACATTGTTAGAAAGCTCAGGCCACATGGAGAGGCTATTGTTAGGTGTTCTGGTCTCCAGAGATAGTTGAAGTTCCAGATATAAACACCATCAATCAACAGACAGGTGAGTGAAACTTCAGATGATCCCAGCCTCACGCCATAGGTAAAGACCAGAGTCAACTGATTTCTAAAGTGCCCTGTGTGATGCAGAAACTCAATGAGCATAATCAATGATTGCTATTACTCATCCAGAGTAACCAGATTGTGAAGGATGGAGTGATCCCAGCTTGTCAGAAAATTCCATGTAGAGGACAGGTGTTATAATGAGAAAAACATCATGCTAAGTTCTGAAAGATTTGAATTGGAAACTACACTAACTCATACCTATCCTTGATCCTGGATCAAGCCAAGTAGCCTTTCTGGGTCTTAATACACACTCATCAAAGAAGGCATTTGGACATTGTAGACCCCTTCAACCTCTGCCAGTAACCTGTTCATATAAAATATTTAATATTTAATGTTTTCTATTTGGAAATATTCTCTTAAAATAATATATATCATTAATCAGAAATAATCATTAATCAGAAATATATATATATATATATATATTTGATTAATGATATTCTTGGTTTGCTAGTTACCACTTTTATTTCCTGATTCCCAAACTATTGGAAATAATTTTCCAAAATATTGACAGTAGCAAATAGAATCATTTTTATGAATCTAGTTGTCTTAGTTACTTTTCTCTCATTGCTGAGACAAAATACCTGACACCCAAAGTTAAAGGGGGAAAAGTTTATTTAGTTCACAATTTGTGGAGGTTTCAGTCCATAATCAATGGGCTCCAAGCCAAAATGGCACATGGCAGAGGGGCAAGGGTTCATGGCAGTGGAAGAGAGCAAAAGCAACAAGCAAGGAGCAGGAGAGAGAACTCTTTCTGTCCCTTATATTGTATGCAGGCTACCCACCCTAGGGCAGGTTAGCACTCACACCCGTAATCCCATCATTGGACCATGAATCAATCACAAACTCTAGATACAGTTGCCTCTGAAAAGCCTCCCCTCATGACAGCATGAGGCTTTAGGGGACATCCAGACACAAACCATACCACTACTTTTAGCATAAAATAGAAAGCTGCTAGACATTTGCTGCAGAACAGGGGGGTCTCAGTTCACAATAATATATGAACTACTGCCTTGATTCCTGATTTTTGTATCATTCAGGGATCCCAGTCTACTAAGAATGTTCTTTGTTAGTTACCAGGTGACATAGTGTCACAATCTGCTTACTGAGATTTTACTGCCTCTATCTAGATCAAGCAGTTTGAGAATTTTCTCAAAGCTAAATCTGCCGTGGGATAGGTAAGGTCAGTTTCTCTTGTTATGATTCTCTGAAAGCTGCATTGCTGGCAGTTCTCACCTATTATTCCACATCCTGCTTTCTAGAAGAGGCTAACGCATGCACTTACTGAGTGGTTCCTGAGACACAGTACTCTCAGGTCCCTGCAGTGGGATGAGTCGGGACAGTTACCTCAAGTCAGTATTCAGAAGACTCAGCCATGCGGGCAGCTTGTCAGTGACTCCTGGAGCACCAGCTGGGGCCTGGAACTTGCTCACACCACCCTCAGTGGAAAACACCCTTCACTTACCTTCCCTTCCCAGAGTTGCTAGAATCACTGACTGTCCCTCTTCTGCATCACAGTACTCCTGCACACAGACCCAAGCTAGCAGGTCTAATAGGAACTGTAATGCTGAAAAGAAGCTGCTATTACTAGCCCATTTATGAAAGTTGTGTATGCTTATTATAATGATGAGATTTCATCAAATATTGCATAAATAGGTGAAGTAGGAAAAAATAGGTGTTCATGAAAATGAGTTGAAAACGTCACAAAATAGGAGTGATACATTTGCAAAAGATTGTTGGGGAAAATGTAGAAGGATTCTGGTGCTCAGATCACTTCTCAGTATGAGTTTTCACTTTCCTTTGAAGAAATCAATACTTTAAATCTTAGTTCATGTGTGAGAGGTGTGCTTTATTCAAGAGCAATGCCCTGCATGCAAAGAAAGGTCCTTGCTCCTTTATCAAAAGATCTGTCAATTGATGATACATGGTCATTTCTTTCAGTTATATTTGTGGGCATACCCTTTTCTGATTTGTTGTTTTAAGCTACTTTTCAGCAGACCCACAATCCCGCTCCTGAGAGTAAGGTAGGTTGAACTGCACATAAATACAGCCCTGTTTTATCACAACAAATAAGAACAGTTGGGACTGCCCTTTCCTCTGGCCAAGCTGCAAACTGCCTCTTTGTGACTTCTGGTTCATGTCAAGCATACCCTTAAAGCCAGTTTTAGCCCAATTTCCCAGCCCATCTGCCCTTCCTGCTCCAATTCTAGAGGAATGTGATCTACCCTAGGCTCTGCAAGCTTGAGTGGAGAAGATTCCATATCCACTCATTTACCCTGGATTCCTCTGCTGTGTGCCCAGATCTAAGGACCCCCTACCTCTTCTCCCACAAGATTCTCTAGTGCAGCTCCTGCCTCTTTTCCTTCCTTGCTTCCGCGAGTAGGTGTTAGACACTTACCATGTGTCAGGCTCAGCTCCACGTACCGGATATGTAGTGGTGAATCAATATGCTGATTTTTCCTGTCAAAAACAGGCATACCGTGTCAGCAAAGCACTTTTTGTCTTTTCTGTTGATGAATTCGTAATCTGGCCTGATAATTTCTGTAGCACTTGTGCCTTAGGAAATAGATTTCATTTGTTTGGTTTATATATGAATTTTTGTATATATGTATGTATATATTTGGTTTTGGAGGAAAATCACTAGAACATGTAATAGTTCAGCTTAATCCAAGGGTTGGCAAACTCGTGTATACAGGGGCATAGAAATCCCACAAGCACAAAATTCAGCTGTTAGCATAAAAGCTGCATTCCAGCACAACTGCGTTCATAAAAATAGGCAACAGTGCTTGTTTGCTGTCTCCTGGAAACGATCAAAATACCTTATTGGTTCCCCCCATTTGCAATTGAACTTGCTCAAGACTCTCCCCCAACCCCCTTAAGTGCTGTGCGCTAACTGATTGCACCACTGGAGCTCCCCCCAATCCCCTTAAAATAAATCAGCACAAAAACTAACTTGTGCTCACTCACCTTCAGTGCTACACAGTGTGGCCTCTGCTCACCGCCCACTGAGATTGTCAGCCATGATCTCCTTTGCTAAATCTCTCAGAGACTTCAGTCCTCTCAACTGCTGCACAGCTTTTGACATAGCCAACCCCAGCCTCCTCCTCCTCCTGGACACAGTCTCCACCCTTAGCTTGTGCTGCTGCAGGGATCCCTTTCTTCCTACGGCAGTGGCTCTCCCTCAGGCATCACTGGCTTCTCCTCTTCAAAGTCTTTACACTCTGGAGTGGCACAAGTCTCCACCCTGATTCTGTCACTTCTCTCCTTAGGGCCACCTCATCTATTTTGTAGCTTTCAGTGACATCTTTATGCTGAAAACTCCAAAATTTTGTTCTTTGGTTTTGTTTTATTTTGCAGTACTGGGGGTTGAACCCACGGCTTATGCGTTGAGCTACATCCCTACCCTTTTCATTTTCTGGTTTTTTGTTTTTGGTGCTGCTGGAGGTGGAAGCCAGGTATTCATGTATGCAAGGCAAGAGCTCTACCCCTGAGCCACATCCCCAGCCCCTGTTTTCTGTTTTGAGACAAGATCTCACCAAGTTGCCCAGGCTGGCCTTGAACTTGTAACCTTTCTGCTGCAGCCTCCCAGAGCACTGGAATTACAGGCATGTGCCACCATGAGTGGCTCCAAAGTAATTTCTTCAGCCAAATTCTTTTCCATAGTTCCTTACTCCTCTATCCAAAATTCCCTTTACCGTTCAAGTTTCTCAAGTGCCTTGCACACAAAGTACTGAGTAAATATAGTTGAGTGAATAAATGAATTTACCTGATGGCCAAGTAGAAACCAGAGCCTGACACTAATTCCTCCTCTTTGCTTCCTTCTACATTCCTGAAATGTAGGCATTCTCTTTCTTTATCATCTCCTGAATTTCCTCCTGGTTTTCTATATCTAAGTCCAAGCTGGCAGAGCTGCATCTACTGTTAGAATATTGAAATGCTTCCACACTGGTTTTAAAGACCTTCCGGCCTAAATCCTTTGCATGCTGGCTCTGCCCCTGGGATCCACCTGTCCCGTCCGGTCTGTCCCTGCAGAAGCCAGTAGACCTTGCTCTAGTGCCAAGGACAGCATTCTTTGTGATGGCTCAGAGCGCATGCCAAAGGAGTTGTTGAGTACTATTGTTCCTGCCTAATGCCACTGTTACCACGCTATTGTAGCATTCAGGAATTATTTCTCACCCACTTGACTGCGGAAGCCATCCAACTGGTCTCCCTACCTGTGGCCTTGTTCATCTCCATACTCTTTGTGGTAGTTGGGGGGTTTGCAAGGGGAATGATATAATATAGGACACATACTTTATAAGATTATTTATAATAGTCACCCAAAGAATCACATACAAGACAGTGCAAGAAATCTGTCCACAGACTAAAGACCAGAGAATCCAGCTGAGGGCCTGAATCCCACAATAATGTCTTGCACGAGTCCAGCTGAAGACCTAGAGCCTATAACAATGCCCCCCAGGAGTCCAACTGGAGGCCCAGAGCCCATGACAATGTCTCACGCAGGCCTGCTTTAAGGATCTGCACTGGGAAAGTCCAAAGGTCAGTGGTGGAAGCTAGAAAGTCTGCGCCAGTGGGATGAAGGATCTGTGCTAGCAGGCTGAGGGATCTGCACTGGAGCCAGGAAGCAATGCTCAAAGCAAGAACCAGAGCTCTCCTGAAAAGTACCACAGCCATCCTCAGCAACACTGAGGTCCCAAGCTCCTCCAAGGATGAGGAAAGCTGAGATCACATCAGGAAAGCCAATGCACCAAGCCTCTCCAGGAGACTGAGCACTGCACCATCTTCCCCTCTGAAACCAGGAAGCTATGCTCAAAGTGAGGACCAGCGCTCCACCAAAGTGAACCTTAGCCGTTCTCAGTGACAACCAGGTCCCGAGCTCCTCCTCCAACGAGAGCAGCCAAGTTCATCAGGAAAGCCAGTGTGACAAGGTCCTCCGGCAGAACAGCCCAAGAGAGCCATCAGGTCCCTAACAGCTTCCCAGATAGCTTCTACCAGCTCCTACCAGCCTCTCTTCTTCCTCTCCAGTTCTACCTCTTATGCTGCTGGCAACAGCCCTCAGGTGGCCCTCCCACCCCCAGCGCCACGCTGGGTCAATTCGGCTGGGTGTTACAAGCTGACCACCGGTTCTCAATCCACCACACTCTGCATGGCAGCCAATGTCTGAAAGGCAAGTTGACTGCATCCCCCCACCCCCACTACTTGCAACCTTTAAACATGGCTCGGCCTCAGGAGGAACCCCCAACTCCCTGGTATGCATCAGCAGGCCTTCACGATCTGACCTTGCTCACTGTTCAGACTGCACCTTCTCAGAAAATGTATCTCGATCCCTGTTAAGTAGGTCCTTCCTGTTATTCTTAGAACATTGTTTCATTGTTTTCTTCATTGTGTTTACTACAATTGGACATTACTAAATTGGTTGTTTTATTTGTTTTGCCTACTAAATTATAAGCTTCCTGGTGGCAGACACCATTTCTGTCACGCACGTTGCTATACCACAGGCTCCGTAAAAATTAAGTGGATACATCTGGACTCCTGAATATTTTCCAGCTTCCTCTCTTGCCGTATTTTTTTCTTGGAATCCATGATTTAGCGGTGTGTAGCCAAAATTTATTTATGTTCATTTGGTAATGAACAACTCTCAGTTCCTTAAAACTTCCACAGAAGCTATACCCTTTGCCTTGTCTGCACCTTCACGCCCTTTCACCGGGGGAACCCTGGTGTCCAGTTCGGATATCCACACTGTCATTACCCCAGGAAGCTATGCCTGATCACCCCTCCGTGGCGGAATTCTTCACATTGTAACTGAAATGTCTGTTTCCTTTTCTACTTATCTTACTAAGCCCTCTGAAGGGAAGGACTGTGTCATTTTTTTACAGCTGCTTCTGACGCTTCTTGCTGTGGCATTCAAGAACTAATCCATAGTAGGATAATTCAGTCCTGGGGCAGATATCCCGAAGTCCTGACAGGGAACCAGTGAACTCACATCCATTTGGGTGGGAAGGTACTTTTTTGTAAGTGGCTATGGAAAAGGGTGTGACTGTTTTGTAATTTTGTTTTGCTTTCCCCTAAGAATGAAACTTCTCTTGGCTATGGGCTTCTGTGTTACGCACCTACTCCCCCTGTAACACATTGTTCAGATTTAAGGGCAGAAACAGGTTAACAAATTGCTAATTTTTTTGTCTGAGATGCTTTATTTGAAAGAAACAAGCAGGCTTCCTTGCCTGTAGTAAACAAACACTTACTGACAGGTACCTTGTGTTGTATTCTTACTCTTGCCAAAGAAGGCAAATAATTCAGGGCAACGCCAGAAGCCCTGGAAAATCACAAGCAGAGGAAAAGACTCTCAGTGTGAGAAAATACCACCTGACCAGACCAATAAAGATGGTGCAGGTTGTTTTACACAGACATAGAAAAACCTCTGATTCTGTTATAGTTACCTCCGGTATAAATGTTAAATATGTAATATAAAATTATGTTTTCTTCCCATAGTTAGAGTTCAGTTTTTATTCACTTTGTCATTTCCTGTTGCCCACCTGTCTTGTTTTCCTCCCGCATATTCTAATTGAGTCAATAAATTGCTAAATTTATCTACAGCCTAAGAAGGAAGTACAAAGTGCAGATTACTAAAAAGATCTATAATGAAACTGCATTGTCTGATGTCCTACGAGGATATAACAGGATAGCAGGATCTTTTCCTTGTAACATTGCTCATATACGTTCATCGTAAATTAATGTAATTTAGTTAAAAACAGAACTTCTTTCCTCTACTCGTTAGTGGCAACTTTATGGTTTCATTCTGCTGGGCACATAAATATGTTATAATATAAACAAGTCGGAGGTCTAATGAATCATTTCAGGCTTATTGTGCTTTTGTTTGCACTACAATTCTTCAGGGGGAAAGTTTTCACGCTCTGCATTTTTAAATTATGCTAATGTGATTAGTCTTTATGGTCCTTACTTTTTATGATGGATGCAAGATGTTCAAACTTCCAAAAATACTTGTGAGGGGCTTGGTTAGCGCTTGAGACCCAGTCAAGAGGCCATTGACGAAGGTCCTATAACATGTTCAAAAGTTACACATGACAGAAGGGAGTGTTGCTAATACAAGACTCTACAAACTAATACAGTAAATGTAAATTGTATTAACATACATTTTTCTTTTTTCACAAGAATGCTCGGTGCTTGGAATATATTTGCCAGGATCTGTCCAGGCCACTGTTATTGCAACAAAAAGCGAACATGAAAGAATAAGTTGCTACTGGAGACAAGTGCGGGAATTCACACATCCTCATCCGTGAACAGGTGCTTTCAAACCCCAGGCTTCAGAACAGTTTCCCCATGCTTGCATTTTGATGGTGCTATGATGAAGCAAATTAAAAAACAGAAGAGACATTTTGATTATCGCACTGCCAAATCTGAACATTCCTGTTACGATCTTGCACTTGCACGAGGCTGAGCTCACAGGGAGACTGCACAGTAGGAAGAATATGGACGTGTGTAAAGACAAGAAAAAGGACAGTTCTAAATTTTAAATGATCCAGGCGTGGTGACCCACGCCTGTAATCCCAGCACTCGGGAGGCTGAGGCAGGAGGATTGTTACGAGTTCAAGGCCAGCCTGGGCTACAAAGTGAGCTCAAGGCCAGACTGAACTGCATAGCGAGACCCTGTCTCAAAAAGATAACAACAAATAAATAAATTTTAAATGAAGTCTTGGTTAGCAATCTAACAAATAAAATTTCAAGAGAAATACATGTAGTATAATATACTTTTCTCTCAGGATTTTAAAAACTTTTTCAACTTTGGAACTCCCTTTCAGAGGAGCTCATGTGAAGAGTGACACTCCATAAAATAAATGAACTATTTTTAGTAAACATTCCATTAGTTCACATTTATCACAATTATGCAAATTCAATGAGCCGGAGAAGTAAGGCTCTTTTGACAAACACCAAAAGTTAAAATTAAAATTAGGGGCTTTGATGACAATTATCATTTTTTTTTATGACAATTATCATCTTGTAGAAATTTCAGCAGCCAATTTGCTGCTGTGATTTCTTATTGGTTGCATCAGTTCAAGAGTTTCTTGATTATAAAGATATGTTGTTGGAATTGATAAAAACAGGAGTTTTAAACAAGTTGGCTGGTAACCTCGGATACCGTCCCATTTACAAACGCTGAGAAGGAACCTCATTTGCTCTGGGGAGTGCTCTCAGAGAGGTAAGCTAACAGGTTGCTGGTCTCTGTCATCATAACATTTGGTGTGCTGGGGTTGTTTTTTTTGGGGGGGGGCGGTGCCAGGAATTGAACTCAGGACCTTGTGCTTGTCAGGCAGGCACTTGTACCCCTGAGCTAAATCCCCAGCCCTCTGATTTCTTTTCTATTTTTGTTTTTGTTTTTGGAACAGGGTTTCTCATGCAGCTCAGGCTGGCCTTGAGCTCACTGTGTAGTCCAGGCTGATCTTGAATTCGCAGCAATCCTCCTGCCTCAGCCTCCTGACTGCTGGGATTACAGGCACCATGTCCAGCTTTTCTCCTGTGGTTTCTTTTTTAAACTAGAGTTTTATAATAGTTAAAAATTATGTGAAATTCTAATCAAATGTGTCCTGGACCCCTGCATCTCATCAAAGGCACGCTAAGGTATGGCAGTGTCAGAGCACTGTTGTCTTCAGGTCACTGCTATACAAAGAGGATTTTAAATTTTACTTTATGAAAAAATGAAACAGAATTTCATAATCAAATAATAAGAGAATGCTAATAGTTATTACACTGTGTATCGTTATCGTCACAGTAGTTACTCCGAGTACAAGACATACACGAAAAAGGTTCTTACAGAGAAGAAACAAACGTAATTTAACAACAGATTTGCCAACCTGCTGTGCTGCCCTTATTACCCTGCTACACACGTGTTCGCTGGATGTCTTCCACGGTGTTTTGATGTCTCACTATATTTGGAGCTGGAGTTCCCCTCAACTTTGCGCTTTTCCTCACCTTACTCTCGTAGCTCATAAAGGGCTATTTGCACTATCTCCAAAATATCAAATCGGTCCCCTAACCGTCACCTCTGTCGTCTGACCAACAGCCTCTCTCACTGCTGTGGACGCTCTGGAGCCTCACCCTACCCCACATAGCCAGAATTTCTGAGACACACATTTGACTAAGTCACCCCCTCACTTCAAAGCTGGTAACCTCCTTTAGCTTCACCAGGTAAAGCCAAACCCTTCAGCATGTGCAGAAGGCCCTTCGCAATCTGAACCCACCATCCTCCAACCTTGTCCCCTGCTGGCCTGTGCAATCCACACATCCGGAACTCAGCACATTCTATGCACCCATTTGTGAGTGTGTGAGAGTCTGGAAAACTCTTACTCAGCCTTCAAGACCCAATTAAAACACTACTTTTTCTTCAAAGCATTTCATGTTTCTCCAAAGCTCAATACAATCCTTCACCTTCCTTTGCACTACATAACCTCATAACACCTGCACCAACGTTTTACTGTGGTCATCTGCGTGCCTGTTTCTCTTCTCTCCAAAAAAAGCCTACAGATTCTTAGAGAGCAGGGGTTGATCTCACCCATCTTCTAATCCCAGGCACGTACAACCATGCCTGCTCTCTTCCTGAAACATGGGACACCTCAGTGCGTGTTTTTGTGTGGAATTTTTTCCTGAATGCTATAATAGTAACACAAATAAAAACCACAGTGGCATCCTGTGGACTGTCTGTGCAATGAGTGAGTAGCTAATTATCAGTGTTTCTCCCTATTCTCACTTTTCGCAGGCCCATGCCCACCTACTTTCTGTATCATCCTCTGAGTTCATTCATGCTTCAGAATTAAATTTGAAACGTCTTCTCTTTAGGAGGTTTTCTTTCCTACGTTTACTTTATCCTCTCCTCTCTTGGGTTATATAAAAACCTCAAACAGAACTAATTTTTCCTGGTTTCAGGTCAGACTTTTGGAAATGTGAAAACCTAGCTCCAAGAGAGAGACTTCATTTTTTCCCCTTGATATATTGTATAATCCTTTCCAGGAGGGCTCATAGTTAAGTGATTTGCAAATCTTAGGCCCGCTGCCTTCATAGCTCTTGAACCCGGAAAGTGGAAAGTGAAGGTGGAATCTTAATTGTTTTTGTGTATTAATGTGTATATCTCACATTGTTGCGTTGGTTCCTTACTCATCTCTGAGAATTCAGTCCGATCATGTCACTACTTCTTTACAAGTTCAGTTGTTTGTTTTTCTGGATCACTTGGTTGTTTTATATTTTTTTATATGCTTCGTAATTTTCCTTGAGGAGAATGTAATAACCCTAGGACGGTTATCCCTCCTCCTCCACTCACGCGTTCCTCGCCTTTTTCAAGGCATAACATTGCTTCTTTCCAATCCTCCCCAGGTTTGGAAAAAAATAGCTTGGCAATGGTTCACTAAGAATTGTAATTTAATCCTTTGGAATAACAGGCTTTTCATCGGCGCTCCCTGCAATGATCCACCGATCTGCCGCACAACCAGCTTCTTAGAAAAGAACAATGCAACTGAACAGAAAAGAAAGTGTTGGCAACATGGTAAAGACTGGGGGGGGGCTTTTTCTAAAATTTGTTAATATAAATTAACCTTGAGAGTAAGTGGCATCCTAATATGAATTATTGCTCCTTTTAAGAAAAGGAACAAGGGCATTTTTGGCAAGCAAATGCAAATGAACCTGACCGGCTGTGCTTTTGATCCAGGCTGTATAAACACAGGCTCACAACTAGGTAGTTTTGTGTTTATATTGGTGGAGTCTCTAAAGTTATGCTTACAGACCTAGGAACAATGCAACATTCAAGAAAGAGCAAACACAACCTTAGTTCTTAGCTGTGATGGCCTTTAACCTTAGGAGTGTTTCTCTAAGTTGTCTGGTGCCCCTGTACGTTATATGATCTATGAAACAAGGTATTGTAAAAGTTATACACATATAGTCTTATACGTCTATGATGCTACACATTCATTTATTTAAACGAGATTGGTCTGCTATAAAATTTCTTCTTCTGAGGTAATTATAAGAGATCCACAATCTGCATGCTAATTTGTCACCTCGCTTTCAGTCATTTTCACTATTCGTCAACCCCATGCTCCACAGCCTTAACATCGCCGAGTTCGCTGGGATTAGCTAGGTGTTTTAAGACTCATTATCATCCCATTATTACTACAAATCACGCTATTGATTTAGCACAAACAACCCGCTGAAGGAAACAGGCTCACACCATTTAAAGTGGGTAAGAAATAGACCCAACACACAAAACAAATGTGAAAATGAGCTCCTGGCAATGATAGTGAGGAGAGGCAATTCAAAAGGTTTGGGGAAGGGTACCGGGGTTATAATCTCCCTCCAGTGCCGTCTCCTGGAAGATTAAGTACTTTCTAAAAGTTCTTTCAATTCTCCCAATGGTCTGATTGGTAGAAATTGAAGGGATAGTTCAGATGAAAGAAGTCAGGAAAGCTCTCCATATCTATGGCACAAAATAATTTTTCCTAGGAAGTCCACTGAGAGTGGAGCCCTCTCAAGCCTAAAGTTGGTGTATGAGTTCCTGTAGCAGAGTCCCCTTTCTATCGGCTCAAGCTCTGCCGTCACAGCCATGGAGGACGCCCTGGCTAGCGGAAGCAGAGTGGAGAAAAGGTGGCAGTCTGAGCTTAGCCAACAAAAAGCTATATAGATAAAAGGATGTGTCACTTTCTGATCTAATATTATTGCAGCACTTTAAGCCTCAACCATAATTTATCTGGAGTGTAAAGGAAATTAACTGTAGTAGCCAGATACTCCTTTTCTCTCCTCTCTATGTAATAAAAAATTAAAGTTGAACGATCATAAACATGATTATAAAATTTAACTTGGAAGCTGACTTTTAAAAAGTAGAGAAAGGTTTTCTTTTTGTTTTTTGTGGAATCAACTGAAGTTTTAAGCAAAGTTTAAGAATTGAAAGGTGTCTTAGCCGGGCATCATGGTGCACGCCTGTAATCCCAGTGTTTGGGAGGCTGAGGCAGGCGGATCATTGCAAGTTTGAGACCAGTCTCAGCTACAAAGTGAATTCAAAGCCAGCCTGAACTACATAGTGAGACTCTGTCTCAAAAAGACATAAAAAAAAAAAAAAAAAGAATGAAAGGAGACATTTGGGGAAATAAATTGAGTTATTTCTCTAACTTTTATTTAGTAATCTTGAAAATGTGGAATAAAGTTATAATTCAGCTCAATACAATTTATTTTATGTTTATTGAAAAACAAAAAGTTAAAATCATCTTATATTTGTGATGAGTAAAATCTAAATAATGAAATTCTTAACTTCTGTAAAAGTCACATTTTCTTTATAGGAGATATAATAGGGTTTTGACATGTTAAAAGAGCTATAGGATAAACAGTCTATTACCATGGGGTCTGATTTGCATAGAGAGTGAATAACTGAGATGGTCTATACCGTTTTAAGGTTCATTCTGCCTTCATTTTATCTAACTTCTGTGCACATAAATGTAATTGACAAAGAAAG